GGGGGGGGGGCAAAACAGGAAAAAAGGCAGAACGAAAAAATGACCCATCGAAGTTTGGCGAACACGCGAATCTGAACAGAGATTTTGTAAAACTTTAATTTATTAACTTCACCTATATAAACAATAACTTCAACTCTTTGTAGCTATAATCGTACAGCTATAACCAGTGGCGTAGCCAGACCTTAATTATTTTTTTGGGAGGGGGCGAACAGTCTAGGAGGGTCCGGGGGCATGCACCCCCGGGGAAATTTTCAAATCTAGGGTCCCTGAATTGGAATTTCAAGCATTTTGGGAGTGAAATTCCGAAGAATTCCGAAGATTAGTATAGAGTACATCGAAGACATGAATTTTTCCAGACATTTCTACTCGGAATTAAATAAATTGGAAAAGTCACCTTGAAAAATAGGAGGAGGGGTCAGTGTCACCTTATTTCCTCTCTGTGATGCTGGGGGGGGGGGCAATGCTTATGTGATTTTGATCATAATGTTGCATTTAAATCATTTTCGGTTATTTGAGACACCATTCCCGCATTCTCAAAATTGCGTTGCTTTTTCATACGATACAGAATAAATCTGAGAAGAAACATTCTTCCTATGTTGATGCATACATGTATTTAACAGTTAAAAATCTAAACTAAATCTATTCTTCTTGGAACCAGTATTTTATTGGATTGTTTGCATGAAATATATCGCTATTATGAAATACTCGGTGAAGAACAATATGAATTACACACAAAATAGCTGTGGAGGAGGCTATGGAAGGGCATAATCTCATTATCAAGTAAATCAACTGCAATTCTGACAGCAATCATGAGCAATTCTGCTTCGCACATCGGGGGCAGAAGTGGCTTTACTGGGGGGGGAGCAAATTCTTTCCCTGGGGGGCAATTGCCCCCCCCCCCAATATATAGTTAAAAAAGGCACTGAAATAGCAAAATAATTAGATCTTAAAAGCTATTTATTTGCTATTCAAATAGAAAGTTGTGAGAATTTAGAAAAGGTAAATGCATTTATTTAACTGGTCAAAATTTCCCTGTTTGAGTTAATTACCAGTTTGAGTTAATTTTAAATTTTTCATCAGTTCATTGAAATTATATTTACAAAAATATTTATAGTCTTTGTGGACTTTGTGGACGTAGGTTTTTTGTCTCTTGACAAAACAGCATTTTTGACAAAACACCATGCCATGAATACCACCAAAAATTCTCACGACCAGCCCGGTTTGACAGACTGGTGCCTAATTTTCTTACAACGCGCGCAAAGCTTTCTGGGATAGCGTCACAATTCACACCGCCATATTTTAAAATTTTTTTAGTTTAAACTTTCCGCTCGAAATGGCTCAAATACAGAGCTTTTATTGAGCGAAAGTGTTATTTATTTTAAAGATAAAAGATCAGGGATGACTGGGTAACATTCAGGTAAGAATTTTGTTATGTTTTATATATAAATAGAGCAATTTTGAAAGGAAATATTTGCTATATTCATTCGTGAATTTTGAGCACATGTTCCGACTTAAAATTTCAATTTGCTGCACCAAAATTTGAATTAAAACAACATTAGTTTTATAGAATGGCTTACATTTGACTAAGCCTTTATATTTATAAATGATGTTTATTGTAATGCCAAATAGTATACTTTGATCTTTGTGTATACTATAGTGTATATGACAGATTGCCAGATTCCAGTGTTTGTTGTATAAAATAATATAGCTTGACATGATGGCATCTACTCAATTCTCATATGCCTACCCAGACATGTCCCAACTAAACATGGTTTGAGAAAATTTATCGACTGGTTTCAAATTAACTGGTACTTTCATAGGTTTCCAATATTTATTCATATATAGGTGGGTGATAGATCAAAATATCAATTTGATGTGTTGTTGTCATATGTGGCAACTTGATTATAGATGTGTCCCTAACTGGAAACAGTTACAGTCCTTTGTTTGCTTGTTCAAACTTATGAATACATTTAGTTACACCACGTACATGTCTTCATGATCTGCTTAATAATATATGTAACAACCTTTGGGCTACATTTTATATATTTTAGAGACACCCCGGCAAGGGTTTGATTGTTTTTGGAATTACCCATTTTACTCCAATGAGCCCAATATTCAGCACTTTGTTATTAAATGTTATCTTGCCTAATGCCGGACAATTTTATTCATCAAGGGAAGTGTCTAGCTAGCGTACTAGACTCTGCCCATGTTTCATGTTGACATATAACACTTCCTACTTATTAAGTACTTTGATATTATTATTTAACTCTGACATTTCATGCTAAACAATTTTACTTACCGACTGTGGCATGCTCGCCCATATCTCACCTTAGTATTAACACCTATAAAGGAGCAATTTGCTCTTACCTTACTTACTTGAAGAATGAAGTTCTTTGTAGGGTGTGCAGGATAGAATGTTTTTGCTATCCAGCTGCATACAGGGTATATGTTGGATAGTTGAAAAATATCCAGCTAGATTCAGGGTATTATTCAAATATATAAATGTTTTTTCTAACCTGTAAAGAAGGCCTGAACTAGCTGCAGCTGAGCTTCGATCGCCCTATTCTTGATGTTACATGATCAGCGTTCTTGCTTTGTTTCTGCCCAGTCCCCAGCCAAGTTATTGTATATTATATACTTAACTCTTTGGCTACTATAGAGACTGCTAACTACAGATTTTTAACTGATTTTTTGACAGACCTCTACCTACTGATAAGTAAAATTGTCTGGTATTTACAGAGGGTGTATACTAAAGTAGGGTCCGTAATAGCCTCTGATGTTTCAGCACTTCTACACTTGTTCTCAATTTCTTTTACTAATTATATTTTATTTAAAGACTATTTACATTATATTTTTCAACTTTTTATTATCTATGTTTTAACTACTGGTATTTATAATATATTTGAAAAATATTTATAGGCTATAAGTATTTGTATACACTATATTTAATAACTATTTTAACTGTATTAACAGGACATATTTTAACTATTTATTTAATATGTTATTATTATTTTTTAACTATTTTTAATCTATTTGGGCAATATTATATCCACTATTTATTATCTATTTTTAACAAGCTGGAATGTATTTTAACTATTTATTATCTATTTTTAAACTATATTATCACTATTTTTGAACTATCTATTATCTATTTTTGAACTATATTATCACTATTTTTGAACTATTTATTATCTATTTTTAAAATATATTATCACTATTTTTGAACTATTTATTATCTATTTTTAAACTATAATATCACTATTTTTGAACTATTTATTATCTATTTTTAAACTATATTATCACTATTTTTGAACAATTTATTATCTATTTTTAAACTATAATATCACTATTTTTCAACTATTTATTGACTATTTTAAACTTAGTTGAAACTCATTTCAACTATTTATTACATATTTTTTACCTATATTGTCACTATGTTTTAACTATTTCATACATATTTATTAACTATGTCGAAACTATATATTTTTAATAATTTCCTTAAATAGCTCTATTTTTATCATATTTGAAACTTATTTAATTTCTATTCGAGTACATCAATTAAGCATTTGTTTAGAAATATATCATAATAGGAAAAAAATATGGTTCCACTTGGATAGGAAAAAAATAGCCTTTCTACCCTAATTTAAATAGAAAAAACCTCGAAAAAAAATAATAGTAAAAATAGGAAATAAATACTTTGACAAATAGGAATTAAATAGCCCAATAAAATAGGAATTAAATAGCAATTAAATAGTGTTTGATTCTACAAGGGCTATTTTCGTTTAAGAGTGAGAAAACTAATTACCACCTTCGGGATGTCTCAAGTGGTCTTTATTTACCAAAACCACGTACAAATAGCATGAAAAATAGTTGTATGTACGACGGAGCAAACATTTGGAATTCTATACAAAAAAAAATTAGGGAAAGCAAGTCACTTTCTTCCTTTCGAAATAAAATCGCTGCTCACATTAGTGCTTGGTAACCTTTGTAAAATTAATTTACCTGTAAATAGCTCAAAACATTTGTTATATCTTTTAAATTTATATATTACTGTAAATAGTTTAGCTTATCATTATCATAGTCTGCATGTACAATAATTTTCTGGCACACGCCCCCCGTGGAAATCAGCTACGGTTGACGGGGTCAGCGTGGATAAAGAAAGTTCTACTACTTATACTACTGCTCCTGATGTGATTTTTGACAAATCAAAATGCTTTGACAAATCAAAATTTTGAGAGGCGGATATCAATTTTCGTGGAGTTTGAATAAAATTTTGAAAACAATTGCGAAATAAATAGCAGAATTGCGAAAAAAGCAGGTGGAAAGCAATGCATAGTAGCGGCTAACCGACCAATCAGAACACGATACGCCGGACATAGTTTATATTAAACATTTAGTTAGCGCATTGATAATACATACACAGCATGCATGCGTGTATTTACTGCACCATACATCTACAGATCATGTACAATATGAGTTAGAAATTGGGTTGAGTAAATTGATAATCGAAACCATGCGATGGTTGGGTATGGAAAAAATGGTCGGGCAAAAGGTTGGAAGGCAGGTTTTTTTCTCTTTTAGATTAGTTTCTCTTCGGTGCCAACCTCAAATATAAATAATAAACACTCCCTAAGATATTTTTGGTTCCAGTATTTGTATTTTAACGTATATTTTACTCTTCAACTCGAGCTTCAACTTATTACTCGCACTGTGAAATAAATAAATTTAATTCGTATAGGACGCTTATGAAAATAATTTGCTTTCCTTTTTGTTATGAACTTCTACAAGAGGGGGACATGGGGTACCGGAATCGCAAACGCCCCCAAAAAATCCTGAATACCGAAATATCGTGTAGAAATTTACGAAATACCGATAGCGTACAATCGCATACATGTTCGCAGCTAAAGCAGTTATCAGTCAATGTCTTTCCATAATAAAAGAAAACACTATCAGTGAAACATTATACGAATGAACATAATTAATTATACTGCCCCCCAAATCATCGTAACAATTGAGAAAAATATTACCTTGTGCATCTTCAATATAATAAACGATTGCTGACGCAGGTAGCCCTACCAAAACGAGACCTCGCACCGAAAAAGGAATTTAGTTTTAGTCCGACATCCCCAATAGACACATCTGGAATTTCATCTGAAGAAATTTCTTCATCACTGCTCGCGTCAAACTCGTCAATGATATCTGAATCGTTGTCAGCTGTGTCTGTTGTGTTATTGTCCATGTCTTGTTCGGATTACCAGAAACGAAAGTGATGGGCTCTTTCAGCATAACGCTATGTCTCTGATACATGAATTCTGCTAATGTACCATGCTTCTCCATCTCTTGGCGCACAGTGCATTGTCTCACTGTAGCTCCGTAGGAGGAAACCCAGTTTCTAAGGACAGCGCAGTCGGCTTGGGACATTTCCACAACAGGCAACGGGTTCATAGTAGGCACTTGAGAGAAAAGTATAGCTTCTTCTGGTTTAGGATACCATGTTATTCGACTTGTATGGTAGTAAGCAGCCCATTTAGTTACTCTCTTTACGGATTCCCTCATGGTCTGGTCAATAAACGATCTGCTGTTTTCCAACATGGAAAAGTTAGCTTGCTTAAAGTGCACGGTTGAATGACAGTTCTCGACATCCAACGTCATACAACTCAACAGATTTGTGTCTTGGTAGCCAAATTCCTTTAAATTCCGAAACAGCTTCTGAAGGCCCAACAGCTGTGGACCTCAGAGTCCGTTAAACTCTACTGTCAAGTAAGGATAACTATATATTATTCGGCGCACGAGGACCAGCTGAATCAATCGTCAAAAACTGCCTTGTGGACTCAGGGAATTTATACAGTAATATCTGCTCTTTCGCTTGTATATAGGACGTGAAATGACATACGGCGCATGCTTAACCGCATTAAAGCGTATGTAATGCGCATTTTACGAGAACAGTAGCAAATAGATGTGTAGGTATATAAACAACATAAAACCTCATGGTCGGTCTTTCATTTCTACGAAAAACCTCCCATTCGGTTTTTATCCTTTTTTTATTATATTTAAATTTTTAAATAAAAAAGAAAGCAAAGTTGTTTGAATGCATGCGATAATTTGAAATCCTTTTATTTCAAACTCGAAGTTTTTCGATAAAGGCAGTTTAGTTTCATAAAGAACATCAATTTAAAACATCTTGCGAAGCGTTTGAGGTTGAATTTACTGTACCTTAAATTGAAGCTTATATTACGTATATAATAATATACATAACGATATTACTCGACTGTGATTGGTTGATTTCAGTGCAGTTAATCCCAAACAGCAGTGCAATTTTCTGTATCACAGTGCAATTTTCTGTAATCACAGTGCAATTTTTTGTAATCACAGTGCAATTTTACGTAATCACAGTGCAAAAATCTGTAACAAACTGATCTGATTGGTGGAAAAACATTGTGATGATTAAATCAACGTACCAATCAGTTTAAAGCAATTTAGTTTAAAGAAGTAACAGTCACAGATTGCTTCAAAACAAAACAAACATGGCGCCGCGCTACATAAAGTAAAAGTTGCCTTCGCGTTGAAAATATGGCTTTTATCTTTATTTTTAAATGGAAAAGCATTTACCTTAAACAAGACTAACAAAAATTACATAGTTGAGTGGAATTTTTAAGTTGTTAGCGTTGTATAATGTGATATAACAAAGCCAGGAAAACTTTGCCAGTGGAATGTTCGCTATAAACGCGTAAGTTAAAACTACAATTGTCTCGAACACTTGTATGTAAATTATTAATAAGTAATAGCATGGTTTCTCGTGAAATTTGGATAAACATGCACTCCTGAGTTTTTCAAAGACCTCAAATAGCACTCGTCCTTCGGACTCGTGCTATTTTGAGGTGTTCGAAAAACTCACTCGTGCATATTTTATCCAAATTCCACTCGAAACCGCCCATGCTATTACCTATACATAACATACCTAACATATATATGTTTGGGTATAATTTCGTAACTAAAAGTGAATTTTTAAGGGATTTTTCATTTGTAAAAATATTGTTAACAAAATATCGTGTTACCTAGACTTGCCCACAAGTCGATCTTGAATAGCGAGCGGTGAGCGGTGAAGCCGCGAGCCACGAGATCAACTTGTCTCGCTTGCAGGAATTTGGATCTGATTAAAAATTCTGGCGCATAAAAGGACGAATCTTTGCGAAAACATTGAACCATTACAGTAGCTATTATTAGCATCACAAAATTACTGGATGCTCTTTGGTTGAGAGGAGTACAATTATTTCATTATTTGTACTGCAGTACAATTAATAATTTTCCCAAAACAAACAAAATGACGGAAGGGTATTTTAAACACAAGCGTGAAATGAAATTGCCGTGAAGGAACTAGATGAAACTACGAGCAAGTGTGGCAGAACTGGGCTTTGGCGAGAGAATCTGATGTCGACATTGAGAAGTACGTATCCAATTTTGTCAGTACTCGTGATGTTTGGAAATTTTTCCAAATTGGACTCGCCCCGGCGGCTCGTCCAACTTTGGCAAAATTTCCAAACATCACTCGTACTATTAATCCCTAATTGTACTCGCCATCGCATGATTACCTGTACTAATTGGAAGAGTTCATTGTAGTGAAACTACACTATTATTAAACATTCTAACAAATGTTGTTTGCCGTTCTTGTAGGGACAAAAATGCCGCTTTAGTTTAGAAAATTAACTCAGTGAAACAACAGTTCGCCTCTGTTAATTGCCAATATTTTATTGCATCTTCGAGAACTGACCATATTCTCTACTTTTAAATGACTTTGTTTTACTGTTTATTTGTATTAAATAACTAAAATAAGTCGACAGGCTAATTACTGTAATGACATTTGAATAATTAATTCAAATAATTTATAATGCGCTTTTATTGGCTGGAATGATGAGACCCCCAATCACACCCGGTCAAAAAATCCACCGGTAGATTTGGCGCGCTGTAAGTGAGAAAAGTCATTTCCAGCGTACATACGAACTGCGGAAACTGGAAAGGACTTTGGGAAAGTCTACGTGTTACCATGACAACTACTTTAAATACTTCATGTTCCGAAAATACAATGGTTTTGTCAACAAGGCGTGGGGTTTCTGCATGCATGTATTTTCTAGTTAAAAATATAAGGTAATCAATAAAGAAACATTGAAATCAGGGCCGCACAGAGAAATTCGGGGGCCCGGGGCAAATTTTCAATAATTCGGGGGCCCGATTTCCCCCCCGAAAGTGTTGGCCAGCGGGAGCATGGGGGGGGGGAAGTAAAAGTTTTTTTCGGACATATCCAAAAAAAAGGTCCAAAAAATTTTTCCGCACATATACGAGTACAATTAAAGTTACGGACAAATACCTGTAAACTCGCGACAAAAACACAATTATTTGGACAAATAATAGCAAAATTAAGGTTATGACTTATGTAAAAAACGTTATAAAAAACGTTCCAAATTATTTGTTTTTTCATTACACCTTTCGGGGCCACCCTTTTGTAAATTTGGGGCCCCCTTTAACTGGGGACCCGTGGCAAATTGCCCCCTTTCCCCCCTCTGGGCGGCCCTGACTGAAATTATATACTGTCTGTTTCATTTAAAATATACACAACGATCAGCTTTTAATACTTTCAATTAAAGCAATTATAAAGCAAACAATACATCAAAATTTAAAACCAACCTACCTTCTGTGTTGGTGCAATGTACTCAGGTGAATATGATGCTTGTGATGTTACTCTGATCGACGATTGAATAATCTTCCGTGTATTACTGTATTACTGTATAATGAATATTATATATAACGTCAGTAATATAAACAAATCTGATTTGATAAATCAAGGCTATATGCATTGGGCATTTTATATGATTATTATATAAAAGTTTAAAATTAATTGCTCGTGATTATATCATTATTTTTTCTTCGAATTTCCTCGATTTCGCTCTTCGTGAAGCTTACATCTTCTCCAAGAATTTCAAACGCCGCCCAAAATAAAAAATGAAGTATATTGTCCATTTCTTTGAAACAAATTCATGGTTTCCTTCAAAGCTAGGCAGACTGAATTTCCCTCGCAAATCTTCTCGTAGAAAATTTTCATAAACTGCATTGTGAAGTTGTCGTCAATATTCCATAGTGTTACCAAGACCGAATTTGCACCGGCTCCAAGGAATGCTCTAGCAATACCTAATACGCCCTCGGAAGATAACTTTCCCATACCTGAGTGACAACAGGAAAGTACTACCAGACGAGCGGACAACTTGCACGCTAGGACATCGTTTTGTGTGAGAAGATCAAACGATGAAGTTGCGTGAGAGGCTTCATTTGATTTTCTTGATTCTGAAGCTAAGTAAATGTGACCAGTTTATTCTTGGCCATGGGCGGCAATGTGAATAATAGACGCATTAGACATAAGATCGATCACTTTACTCTTTGTTGCCATACGCCCTGTCAGCGGTTTTGCATTAAGCAGAGATGAAATGTATTCCACTTCTTCTTCTGCGAACAGCAGAGATGGGAGTTGCACCTCTGGATTTCCGACAAACAGAGAACCTCCAATTTTCTTGCTTCTTGATGCCAGTATGCTCAAAGCGAGTGCATGAATTGAGGAAATAACTTGAATTTGGTATTTCTCCGACAACAGGCAGCCACTTTCATCAATGAATGCCGAGAAAGGTGCAAAAAATATGCAACTTTGTGGAACAATGATAAGTTTAGTTTCCTTTATCAAACTTTTCACTGGATCAATCAAGACCCTATGTAAAAAGGAACGCGTATCTTTGGTCAAATCACACAGTGTGTCAGATTTTTTAGCAGGTGATCTGTAATTGTTTCTGCTGTCTTTATCTTCCACATCATTGTCATTCGTCGCTTCCGCTGCATTTTCTGAACTCAATTGTTGGGCATTCGGATTTTCAAAATGGAAAGCGGTAGACGGTTTGAAAAAGGAGTACGAGCGTGGTAATCCAACGGATGCCTTCTCGAGCAATTTCTTAATGTTGTCTTCGAGTTCTTGTCGAGAGGTTGACGACTTCGATTCCTGATAGGATCTGATGTTTTCAAAGACACACATCCATTGCCGTTCAATACCCAAATTGTTAATATTTCAGCGTCGTTGAAATTATAGAACAGAACAGTAGCATTAGTCTCCAGAAGTTGAATATCCTTAGATAGGACACAAATTCGTTTTTTCTCTTCTCTATTCTCAATTGTCAACCACGATGATTCGAAACTCGATTGACCTTCATCTTGCTCTTTGTCTTTCACTTGTCTGTAAACCAGGTGTCTTAATATTTTTGCTCTTCCCAAATTTAAAAATAATAGGGCAGCCGTAGATCTTCCTAGTAGGTTGAAAGGACCGGTGAGACAATCGTACCAACGGTAGAATTTATCTGAAAACGCCGTCTTATTACTGTCGAGTGCTAAACTGGCCAAAATTTCGTCGGTAGCTTGTATAGCAAGTTTGAAAGCTTCGATACACTTTTCCAAAGATTCGTTAGCATCACTGAAATTGAGAAATTTCGCTAACGAAATTTTGTAGTAAAACAGTCCTTTATTTCCATATGCGATGGCTAAGTCAGAAAGTTGCTTCATATCATGGTTGATTTCGATACAGATATTATGATAACGCTCAGAAATGTTTAAATGACCCAACTGGTCGTAGCTGGATGCCAGAACTCCGTAGGAAAGGGAGACTCCTTTTTTGCTCCCAATTTCTGTGAAAATACGTGCACTTTTCACACAGTACTCAACAGACTTCTGAAACTTTCCCATCTGATAATATGCTGCTCCTATGTTATGCAAGCTCCTAGCTTCCTCAAGCTTATAACCTGTCATTTGACTTATCTTGAAAGCTTCTTCGAATAACTCAATGGCTTTGTTGTATTCTTTTAAGAGATTGTATGCATATCCCATATTTCCAAACGCAATTCCCAAATGAACTTTACCTGTTTTTCCCAACTTTAACAATATTTCAACGGCTTTCTCTGGCTTTACGATGGCCACTTTGTATTTACCAAGCTTTGTATATGTATTTCCAAGAGAGATTAAACCATTCGCATTGCCTAGCTGCGCTATGGGGCCTGAATTTGATAGTTGCTTAAACATAACTATTGCATCATTGGCCATTTTTAAAGCATTTTCGTACTTGTCACTCTGTTCATAATAGGAGGCCAAGCTCTCTACGATTAAAGCATTCAGCAATGGATCCCCTAATTCAGTATTCATTTCCCTGGCTTGATCGAGGTAGATTTTGGCTTCTTCTGCATTTCCCTTCATTAGCCTTTCTGCTTTTATGTATAATTGCCAAGTTTGATTCTTTTTTGATTCTTCACTTCCTGGAGAGGAGGTGTGCATCATGGTTAACAAAGAAGAAAGTTTCTAAAATAATGAAAAAGAAAAATTCATTCCTGGTATTACGCACGAACAAAATATATATGTATATATACGAACATAATATAAAAAAATATATGTGTATATACTATAATAATAAAATAAACAAAAATAATAAATAAAAATAAAATAATATTTTATTTAATTAATAAAATTAAAATTTCGTCGTTGTGGTGCAAAAATTGCGTAAGTCGATTTTTGTCTATTTTGGGGTTTTAATCCTATATAGGGTAAAAAGCCGTTCCGCTTTTAATTGTGACATCATTTTGTTCGTTCGGAGTATAATTAGGCTGAAAAAAAGCTTTGACAAAATAGCGTAAGTCTGTGGTTTGATATTTGCTGGTGCAAAGTAGCGTAAGAACAAATTGTCAAATTGCATAACTTTTTCGACGCCGAAAAAGGTTTAAAACTTGCGTAACTCGAAACAAAGATGGCGGAAAAAGACCTTTAAATTTCACTCTTAAAAAGGTAAGCCCTTACGTTTAAATAATTATCTTCTTTTTATTTATTTTAATAAATTAATGAGATAAATAGATGTTAAATTGTTAATATAAGTTTTTGAATTGAATAAATAAAAATTTTTAAAGCTTTTTGGCTCAAATCAAATACATATTTTTCAAAACTGTTTTTTTTTTTGCTACAACAACCCATTATAATCGCATGTACATTTTTTGCCAAGTCACTGCTAACCTTTGGCTTTCTTTGTATAGGCAAAATCATCAAATTATACTTCTTAAGACTTTTAAGACTGTCATAGTGTCATTCTACCTTGCTTTCGGAATAAAATCAGCTCTACTCAAATTTATATCGAAAAGAAACTTTGTCGAAAAACACTATAAAAACAATAGTAAAAAACATTGTTTTTACCGAACTTGTGTTGCTTTTGAGTTTTAAAACCGAGAATTACAATGGAATGCTCGTTAAAAACATTTAGCAAGAGTTTTTTTTAAACAATGGAATGCTCTTTAAAACATTTAGCAAGAGGTTTATTAAAAAACGTATGACGGTTTTATTCACAATCAAAACAATATCCACAGTCAGTGAGACAGTATTTTTTAGACCTTATATAACATTTAGGAAACGTATTTGGGATATTGAACGTGATTTTGTCAGTGGTGTTGAGATTGTGGGTATTTTGACATTTTTCTATTAATTTAGGCATCGTTTAAAATTAATATAACGTTTATTTCTCTTTTGTGTATTATGTTTAAACATATCAATGAAACACACATCATAACTTTAATAAATTTATTAATCTTCCCTAGCTTCTCATATGAAATCAATAGACTATTCAGATATTAATATGCCAATAACAAAATGTAGAATAACAACACTGCAGCATTAGCATAACACATTATTAAAATAACACAACAATCCATGATTTACCGTAATTAAACAAGTTAAAATAAATTACTACCAGTATCTTACAACAATTCAAAACCATGGCAAGTGTTCTTTGAAGAATTAAAGTCGTGATAATTTAAAGAACGGCATAATTCATGTTTGACGGCAGTAATGTCTATTTATAAATGTCGAGCGGAGTACTGGATCCAAATGTACTGATTTTCGTGCAAAAGTCGCCGGTGTTTCCCAGAGCCTCAGCAAGCCTCCACAGAGGATTGCAGGCTCTGGTTTCGAGATTGTTTGAGCATAGCCTAGGAGCCTAGGATAGACTGTACCCAGTCCCTCTGGGAAAAGACACGCGGGAGAGAAAAGGAGGGACTGTGGATAGGTCCATTGATTTTGAATTTCGTGTATCATAACAAACGCAAAATTCGGATTGGTTGAAATAGTTGATTGACAGATCTATTTGCAGCATAAAATATTGCTAATTTTATTATCCAATCAGATTGCTAATTTTAAATTGGAAACTTGAAAAGTTCGTTCCTCAACTGTCTAATTTGTAATTGTATTACAGGTAAACTACGTTAAGCGTTCCTCTTTTGAGTTTCTGAATTGATTGCAATTTTCCTCATTACTTTTGCAATTTAAAAAACTCCCTTGCAAATCCCTTGAGGAAATTTGCAATGTTACTAAAATCCAATTAAGTTTTCCTCAGTTCCTGTTAGAAGTTCCTAACTTCCTGTTACAAGTTCCTAACTTCCTGTTCTGTTCTGGGCGTTGAAATTGGTTAACAAAAATAATCGAACAATAACAACGCTCAGAGCAGAACAGGAAGTTAGGAAATTAAAACAGGAAGTTAGGAAATTAAAACAGGAAGTTAGGAAAATTTAAAATGAAGTTTGTTTGCAATGGAGTATTGCAACATCCGATAGGAACATTGCAAATTCCCTCAAGGGATTTGCAAAGAGTTTTTCAAATTTGCAAACCTAATGAGGAAAATTCCAAATGAGTTACCAAGTCAAAAGAGGAACGCTTCACATAGTTTACCTGTAAGTCTAGACAAGGCCAATGCAACAAAATACAACAACGCATATTCGGCGTGGCGAGTTTCAGTGCAAAATATTTATGCCAGAATTTTTAAATATTCCCAAATTCAGTTATTCACTTTAATAGAGCTCCAATCTCGAAAACAGTATATATATATTTTTTGAAGTAGACGTTTCTCATAGTAGACATAGCATTCCACACCCAGACGGAACGAATATTTTGACCAATTGTTGTTTGCTATTTTACTGCTTTATTTGCATGACCTATTTACAAGGTACTAAACTTAACATATTATTTTACATAAAATGGTAGTAATAGTATTTATCATATATAACAATATCAAGAGACGGGCTAAAGAAAAACTCTGTGGGGAGAAACCTATTGAAACATAGTTAATAAAACGACACTCGCCACGGTATTAAACTCGCAATTAAAATCGGCATGGCAATCCGTGTATCTTGGTTGTATCTTCTCAAAATCTTCTCTGTATCTTTTCTTCGAAAAGCGTTGTGGAAGACTAAGCCATGTGACTTAGCAAATTTGGTTTGTCTACCTTAATCTAAGCGGCAGTTTTATAATAGTGTCATTAATAATACCTTTATAACTATATCGCAAGTTTGGGATATTATTAAGAAGACCAGAGATGAAGTTTGTAATTTGCATCTATTTAAATTTCGAGTAGACCGTACCAAGAAATTTGTTTATTCATTTTTTTTGAGGTATCTAACAGACAAAAACTGATTAAAGAGATATCGAGCAGAACAATACAAGAAAATAAAATGGAATAATTTGTTTACTAATTCAGCCTATCAAAGGCTATTGATTGGGCGGAGAAATGGGCGGAGCGTAATGATACGTGAGAAATGCAACTTCAATAGACTTGTCCACAGTCGCTCCTTTTCTCTCCCGGGCGTCTTTTCTCAGAAGGGCTAGGTACAGTCTAAGCCTAGGATAGCAAATATTTACCAATTTTTGAAATCCTAGGCTAGGATTTCAAAAATTGGTAAATATTCGCCATTTTTTATTTTTAGATTTTTCAGCATGCATACGAGAATTTAACTCCACATCCCATAGAGTCCTATACAACAACTCCAATTTTATGGGGTTATAATCAGTAGACTCTACGTATGGATAGTGGATAAGCAGATAAATAAAATAAGAATTTGTAACACGATTAATTTAATGATTATTTAAGGAATTATAGAAACATGGACGATATTTGGTGCGATTTGTTTTATTTGCCTTTTTACAGAATCATGTCAAACGTCGGAGATAATCTCCACATGTGTTATGGCAGCCGCTGCTTGCGTCGTATGTATGTATGCACGATGGTAGATGTTGTTCCAAAGAAAGAAACGAAGAAAGGTGAAGGGCAAGAAAGTTGACGATCATGTAGCTTGCATTACCACTTGAAAGTTGAAGACCAGCGAATTCGAGTTTGCACTAAGATGTTCCAGAACACGCTCCAAATCCCCCATCGCACGATTCTCTACTGGTTAGATAAGGGAAAGGACGGAATGATAGGATCAACCAAATACTCACCAATGCAAGAAAGAACCAAAGGGAAAATGCACATGACAAGGAGAGAGTTTGCTTGGCTAATATCTTTGTCGATCAATTGGATAAAGTCCCGTCACATTACTGTCGAAAGTCGTCAACAAAGAAATACCTTTGGCCATATGACTTCAAAAGTGCACAGGATGTGTATACTAACTATCGCAAGTGGATTGAAGAAAATTACAACAACAGTCAACTGCTGTCAGCAACGACCTTCAAAAGTATTTTAAAGGAAGAGAATATTGAAATTTGGCAACCTAAAAAGGACCAATGTGACACTTGTATCAGCTATAACCAAGGTAATATATCCGAAGAAACTTACATGGCGCACATTGATCTCAAGAACAAAGCACGACAAGAAAAGGAAAACGACAAAGATGAAGCATCGAAATCAAGCAACAAAATAGTTATGATAACAGTATAGACGTACAAGCAGTACAAACGATCCCCAAGATGCAAGCTAGCTGTCTCTATTTCAAAACAAGGCTGAATGTTCACAACTATACAATATATACAAACGTTACACAAGATGTTGTATGTTATGTCTGGCCTGAAACGAGCGGTGGTCTAGTAGCGAGTATTTTTGTCTCTTGTTTTCTATCATACTTTGATGATTTGCTAAGAAAATATTCGGATTTAGAGAAAATTATCATGTGGAGTGATGGTTGTGGAGCCCAGAACAGAAACGCAACTTTGCTTTCTGCTGTTTCTTCATGGGCACAGTCGCACAAAAAGGAAGTCCTTGTTAAATACCTAGAAAAAGGCCACACTCAAATGGAAGTCGATTCTGTCCATGCGAAAATCGAAAGTAAACAAAATAATGTAGATCTTGAAACTCCAGCAGATTATTGTCGCATTGTGAAAGAAGCAAGGCGTCACCCATGTTCCTTCAAATGCAACTACTTGGAGTATGACTTCTTCAAAGATTTTGAAGCAACACAGGCATGCATATGACTCAATTCGACCTGCAAATAAATCGGGGGATCCATGTGTTATTGACGTCAAGGAATTTCAGTATAACTCTGACGGATCAATTAAATAAAAGTTAGATTATGAGCAAAACAGTCCATTCAAGTTGCTGCCACATCGACGAAAGAACCGTCCGGAAGCTCACGAACCGCAGCTGTATGCGTCACCGCTGCCGATAACCGCCAGAAAGTATAAAAATCTTCAAGACATTAAACTTGTTCTTCACCCTAATCATCATCAGTTTTATGACAACCTCCCGCATTTGTAGACATTGTGTGAAGTTTGCTTCGTGACTTTTTAAAGTTTAAAAACATTAATTTTTAGTATTTATTTGTCACGATTATTAAGTGGACAAACTTCAGTTGTAGAATTAAATATTTAAGACGTGTTAACGAAATAAATTATGACCAAAAAAGTTTGAGATATAGTCAGATATAAAAAATGGCATTGTTAGTCATTTTTTTAATTAATGCAAGGTACGTGGGGGAGACGACTTTGCAAGTACGCCAAACTTGGAGCGAAAATCACATCCTATCATTGTTAACACACAAGCTACGCCTCCGTACGAAAAATCTGACGGGAAAAATCTGACGGGAAAAATCTGACGTCAAAACTGGTAAGTAATTTGCAGTGACTAATGGCGAAAATGGCGTAACTATAAAGTCTTGGCAATTTCAAAGGGCAAAAACTGCGTAAGTACAGGATTTGGCTATTTCAAAACAAATGCGGCCAAATCATTGCCGAATCTTTTTTTTTTCGTTAATAGTGAAAAGAAACGATTGTTCCTTCACCAAATAAGGACTTGTTAGCAGTTGTATCTTCTGTTTATTTAGTGTTTTGTTCGCTGTGAAAAATTGTAAAGTTTGACTTACGCAATTTTTGCACCCCAACGACATATGCATATATAATATATGTATATATAATATATGTATATATAATATATGTATATTTAATATATATATTTATATATATATATATATGTATATATATATATATATATATATATATATATATATATATATATATATATATATATATATATATATATATATATATATATATATATATATTAATCACCGTAGGTAAGTATTTTTTAGTGAACAGGAAAAGTTGAGACTGAGTCGGATTCGAACCGGCGACCTCTGGGTTACAAGCCCATCGCTCTACCAACTGAGCTATCAGCCCGATGGTATATTCG